TACGCAAATATTGATGTGTAGCTTTGGCCTGTTCGCTATCAATTGAAATCAGGAAATCAATAGACTTAATAGCTCCTCATTACCCAGTTGATGCATTTGCAGAGCTGAGCTGAGCACTGTCAGTGAGCGATCAATTCGGTCACCAGCTCTTACGTGGTCACCACTGGGATGGGCTCCATGCTGCTGGCTGTGTGCTGGGCACAGTCCTTCCCAACCCCCCGTGGGGCAGCCCAGAGCTGGGGCAGTGGGGCAGCACGGCTCCTGCATGCTGGGGAACAGGGGGCTGCACAACCTGTGTACCCTGAAGGTCGCTCCTCAGGTGGCTGTGGCACTTAGAGTGGTTCCATTGTAGGTACGAGCCCTTGCCGGGTGGAAAATGATGCAACAGTGTGCTAGTTTGTCCAGTTGTGAGTTGTCAAGTTTTAAAGTGAATCTAAGTGAAAGGTAGGCAGCCTTGCAAAGGTGGGCTGGATTTTGGGAGAGAGGCATTCCTTTGCATTCATACATGTTTGTAATGTGCAGGACTTGTTGTAAAGGCAGGATGTGTGATGCCTTGTTGATGCAGTGCGATTCTATGATGAGCACACAGCAGCTCCTTCCGATGCCCTCTGTGTCCATACTGTGTATGGATGGGGTCTGAGCAGATCCTGCATAAGTTCCATGCTGCCCTGGATCTTCAAAGAGCCTCTGGGTAATGGAAACCTACTGGCATGGTAAGGGATGGATGCTTCCCTAGTGTGGTTGGCACTAGATCCAAGATGGCTGAGCTATCCGGTGATGCAGCTAAAAGGACCTTTTAGACTCAAACTGCAGTCACACAGAAAGATCCACGTTTGGTCCAAGTCCACGTGCACATCATTGCACTGCATCTAAAAGTGCCAAAGTTCCAAGCACTGAGCAGCAAAGTTTGCTGGTGAATAATTTTTAGTCTGGTGTTACTGCGACAAAGTTGTGTCATTCACTTCAAGTATTTTTCTTTCCTGGAAATAAGTTATTAAAATCAAAGAAAAAAATCCAGACACTCGGTAAACATGTAAGATGAGTGAAATACAGGCTAACTTAATGATATTTAAGATGATATACATAATTATAACAGAAAGGTCAGGGTAGGTGGCAGTTTTCCCAAGTATATGGAGTGTCGGAAAAATCCCCAAAGTCCCCAAAGCGAATGTTTTAATTGAGTTATGTTTTCTTTCCTTCGTGCTGAAGCATTAAGGCATTACCCCATTCCTGGGCTGCGCTCCTATAATTTCACGTGGCAAAATTCCCAGCTCTGCATTTTGACAGTGAAACCACATCATGTGTAGGCTCCTTCCAGGAATGAAATACAACTTTGTGTTTGTCTCCAAATCATCACTTTCTTTTTCATTTTAAACCAAAATATATTTAATGTACAGGAAAATAAATTTTACAAGGGCGAAGAAGAAGCGAACGCCATTTCTGAAGTGTGAGAGATCTGTGAAGAGCAGTGAGCCAAACAGCTGGGACAGAAAGAAGGGAGAAGTGGATGGAGGAGAGCCAGTGAGACACAGGCAGACTGCGTGGGGTGGGGTGGCCCCGTGGGAGCAGCAGTGGAGGCTGTGGGTCCCCGGCTCCCCCCTTTCACACCCTGCCTCCGGGGCTCGTACTGAGGGAGCAGGGGTTGGCAGAAGGGGTCGAGCAGTGTTGTTGCCCACTGAGGTTTGGTGTTTGTGGACAGAGTGCAGCTTACAGCAGGCAGTGCCAACAGAGGCAGAACACTGGGCAGGAGCCTTTTAGCCTTCGTCGGCACCAAGGCCTCTTGCCAACAGGAGAGGGCCCTGCGGGGCTCCGTGCTGGGACGTGGGGAAGGTGACCTCCATATACGTGTTCCCCAGAGGGGTTGTGTATTAGAACTGTTTTCTCCAATAGCAGTTGGAAGAAAGTAGGTTTTTCCATTTCTGCAGAAACCGGGGGGTAAATGTGGGGTTAAACATTGTGACCTTTAGGTGAATTATTGCAAGTTTTCTGTAGGATCTCTGCTTCACTCAGTGTTGCTTCATCTCGGACAGCCTTTCCTTAGCAGGAGCCAGTAACTCACTTCTTGTTACTCAGTGTGCAGATCTGTACTGCTGCTATCCAGGCGTCATCTTAGAGTGTTGTCAGGAACTTCTGCCCAGGCTGCTTTAGGGCTCACCAGGCTCTGAAGGGCCGCATGAGTTGGTGCCTTTGTGACAGTGGTGTGCAGTGGATGCCTGTTGGCCTTGGTGGGATGTGAAGAAGGGAGCAAGGACAGAGGTACAGCGGGCATCAGGTGGGGAGAGCTTGAAAGCAGAGCACGCTCCTCAGCACGATGGATTTTATCCGATGCTTTCTGTACCCCAACACAGCTCCATCTTTCATTTAGCCACTTACTTTGTATTCGGTGTTTGAGGGTAACCAGGCTGGTTCTCACTCCCGTGCACTTCCCCTGACGCGTTGCTGAGGATCAATAGGTGCACTGGGATACGAGCGTGGCGGTCACTGCTGCAGCTGGCAGCACTGCGCAGCACTGGGAGCTGCTCCAGCACAGAGCTCAGAGCACAGCTTGTGCTGCCACTGCTGGTGGTACCTTGTGCTGGGCCCTGCTCTGCTCCCTTGGTGCCTGCAGTGGGGAGCGGTGGGTGTGGAAATAGTTTTATTTGTCTGAAAGCCTTCGAGAGACTTGGAGAAGTTCAATATAGACAAATTGTTACATATTAAGCGTATGCGTAATATATCCACTCGTTAGTTTGTACATACAATACAGGGGTTATTTGGGATGCAGATACATAAAAGATAGAAGAACCCAGTAATTGCCTTTAAGATCAGAGCACAAAGCATTACCTTGGATTTTACAAGGCCAGCGAGCAACAAAAGAGCAGTAATTTATGAGCTCAGCGTAAAAGAATAGCATAATTGCATTAAAAATTAATGCTAATGAACACTAAAATGGGGAAGGTGGTTATGATGAAAGTTTGTATTCATCTTCCCTGGTTTGAATGATGGCTAGTGGCTTGATTAATGGCTTAATTTCTATCAATTAGCAGGAAAAAATCTCCTACGAGACAAGGGTAAATTGCGCATCGAATTACATATCTTGCTTTTGTGCTGAGAAAAGAGAGCTGCGTGCCTCCGACGTGGGCTGCAGTGACAAATGCAGCGTGCCCTGCTCTGGCTGTGGGGGCTCAGGTGGGGGCACTGGCTGCACTGCCTGCCCCACTGCCTGCCCCCCGCACCCTGCCCAGCACTGCTGCCTGCCCCTGCACGAGCCCACCTCAGCTCTGCCCTGGGTGCTTGTGAATGCCTGAGGAGGCTGCAGAGTTCAAGTGGGCTTGGGAAATGGGGAGGGAGGTGAATGTGCATGCAGAGCATAGAGCAGAAATCCAGGTGTTCCCAGGTCATGTATTTCTGGATTCCTCGTTGTTGTCTGTTAGATTTTACCCCTGGTACTTCTGTTACCAAAGAGAGATGCTGCTGTGCAACCTTGTTTACTATGAAAGGTAGATTATATGGTCATAATATGTTAAAGCAGTGCAATGTAAGCACTCATACTTACAGTTGGATGTGAAGAACACAAATTAGCATTAAAACCTCTCCCTGGCCACAGCAGCTCAGTGTGGAGCCTTGCCTGGGGATGCTGCCACTTTGGGTGGAGCCCTGGGTGAAGCCAGGGGATGGGGATCTTTCTCTGCAGTGGTGGTGTTTGCTCTGCTGTCTGTTGGGGTCTTCTACCTGTCAACTCGTGAGAAAAAGAACAAAATAAATTGCAACTCTTCTTCTGGAATGGCCTATCTGTAAGAGGCGGCCCCAACGATCCCGACGCAGTAGTTAGCTTGTTTTGCTCACGGTAGCACAGTAGAAGGACTTGCTGGGCAATGAGGTAGTATTGATTTCTTTTTTGTCTGTAGCCTCTCAGCTTTCTGACTCCATTATTCTTGATTTTACTATGAAATACATATCCTTTCTACTGACATCTGACAAACAACACATGGAAGTCATTTTATCTACCAATAATGTGTTTGTCAAAAAATATCACGCACTAATGGGTTATGCTTCCTCCAGTCCATTTTCCCAAGTTAATGTCACTGATGTAATTCTCAACATTTAGTGATTTTTGCCCTTAATAATTTGTCATCCCCACCGGTCTGAGTAAGACCCGGACAGAACACAGTGACAGGCAGAGAGCAGCTGGTCCCAAATCCATTCTCCTGTCTGCATTGCTGGCCCCCACTTCCAACGCTGTGACTACCAAGTGCCCCCGAGCTGGAGCACCCTGGTGAAGGAGGATTTCCTCTCTCTGGCAAGGCATTGGCCTGTTTGTTTTTACACTTCCTATGGGACCGTCAGAAATCTTTTTTTAAAATAGAATTCCTCAGCAGCAGGCCAGCAGGGCTCTGAAACACGGGCCGAAATAAAAGCGTGCAGTGAAAAAAAGGAATGAAGATTCAGTTGTCACTACAGTCAGACATAGAGGTAGAGATGAGATTAACTGAGCTGCGAATCTGAAGAAGCAGAAACTGAAAGTAAAGTAAATACTCTTTTTGGTCAGATGTATTGTAATGAGCAGGCAGCACAGAGGTGATAACCTAGCTTGCAATGAGAACACAGGGCAGGGCTTGTTGCTGTGGACATCCACAACTGAAGCCAAACTCCCCTCGATACCAGCAGAAGCAGTTGTGCTCCTTCATGCAGATTGGGCTCCCCTGAAGTACTGGCTCTGGCCACAAATCCTCACCTGCAGGAAGTTCTCATGCCATAAATCTAGTGACTGTATTGCAAGGACTTCTCTCAAAATTCTTACATTAACATCTTGAATGTTGGCATGCATTTCAGCAGTGCCAACTCACTGTTGTTAGCTGTACTAAAGAAGAAAGGTTTTGTGTCTTCTTTGTAAAATAATCTTGTAGGCTGCAATGCAAGCAGTGTATGCTGTGGTAAAATACAGTGAGTGCATTGCTTTGGCACAGCATTTATTGCAGGCTTACAGTAATGTATACTGACACTACACCTTCTTTTTGTAGACCAAGCCACCCTGGTAGAGCAAGTGAAACGAGTGAAAGAAATTGAAGCTATTGAAAGTGACTCCTTTGTTCCACAGACATTCAGATCAAGTAAAGAAGTCAAAAAGGTAAGTTTGCAAAGTCCTTTCTTGGTGCATAATCCCTTCCAAGTCAGGTGGGAGCTACGCCGCGAATACGATTGATGAAGAAGCGTCAGAGCTGACCTTCCTTAATGCCACCACCGGAATCAGCTTTTGGACAAGGACTCTCCTATGTTGCTGTGTGGGTGAAGGAAGGATACCTTTAAGCATGCAACAGTGTCCATGAAATGCAGCTGCTTTGATAGTGTGACTGTGCTGCACAACTCCGATTTTGAAGTCTTTTAAAATTGTATGCAGTCATGAAGATGTTTTTAAAGAAAAGCAGAAGAATTAAAATGCAAAAGTAATCAGTAAAAGTAAAAAGTAAAACTAATTTACGTTGTAGTTAAAGGTAGAGATCAGTATTTTTTATTCTGCTTAGCTGGAATCAGAGTTCAAGCCCATGTTTACTCACTGAAACAAAATGGCATTGTTTTCAGACAGCTTTTGAAAACCTAATGTGAGACGTCCACATTTCAGGACTTGATCTGCATTTGGCTGCCAGCTCTTCTGCAAACTCAGGCCCTGCTTTGGAAGCACGCAAACAAAGGGTTGCTTCAGTTTTCCCCCCTGACAACAAAGCGTTTCGAATCACCGCTGTGCGTTTCCCTGAGAACATGCATTTTCTTTTCAGAAATATCCGAGAAGTTCACACCGCTTCAGAAAGCCATCCCACCACCAGAGCTCTCCCACTGCCCTTGGCAGTACCTTCTTCCACTCTGTGTGTCTGTGAGTCCATGCCCAACCCGTGCATGCTGAGAAGCATTCGCAGGAGGATCTTTCTGTGGGCATGTGCTGCAGTTCAAAGAAGGCTGAATGCTCGGCTAAGATGCTGTCGTGTGCGGGAGTCCGAGGATGAAATGCTCACTGTGTTTCTTTCTTTTTAGTCAGTAGAGCCTCCCGAACTAAAGTACGAACCTGTAACTATAGGAGCAGGATCTGAAGCATCTGCCCCCGAAAAAGAAACAGTGCCTGCCAGTATTCCTACTGCCATCAAATACCAGGATGATAATTCTTTAGCACATCCAAATGTAAGTGTGGTGATATTTTTCTTTCAGAACAACACGGCCCATTGAATGTGGCCAGGTCCACGAGCCCTAACAGCCGTGCCATGCTGCTCATCAATTAGTCTGTGGTCTGAAGAGTATTTACCAGTGGGCCACTCACTGGCTCAGAACAGATTACTTTCCTTGCATAATCCAACGGAGAAGAATTACAAACAAGGAGCTTCCTTTGGCTAAAAGACAAATGGATACAAGTGAAACACTTTTGTTTTGTATTTTCACTTGCATTTTAGCTGCTTTTTTTTTTTTTTTTTTTTTTTTTTTAAGAATTAGGAAGTTAAAAATGATTTGCCAGAATTAAACTAATGCAAATTGCAAATAACGGATATGGCTACCAACAGTGTGAGACCACCAACAGATTCACTGTTTTAGGGGGAGATTGAACTTAGACCATGTTGGCTTTCAAAAACACTGACGTCTCAACCTTGACTTCTGTATTTATGTCAGTATTTTGACTCCTATATGTAGCTGGGCTTCTTAGCACTGACGTTTCATGTATGTATTTCAACACGTTATAACAAATTGAAGTTGTGCCTACTTTTGTTCTTCATCTCTCAGCTGTTCATTGAGAAGGCAGAAGCAGAAGAGAAGTGGTTCCAGAGGCTGATTGCTCTGCGGCAGGAAAGGCTGATGGGCAGTCCGGTGGCCTGAGCAAACTGCTGCAGCCATCCAGTATGAGTTCTGTGAGCGCTGTGAAATCCCACCGCCAGATTGTTCTGTTTTTGTCTTTTGAGAGGGTTTTAATAGTCAGTAGGAGTTGTACAGAGAATAAATATTTCATCTGAATACACGTAACGTTCCATCCTGTGCTTTTTCCCTAGCGCATTGCTGCGTTACTTGGGTTGCTGAGAAGGGAAGGCTCTGATAGCCGTGTAATTTGCTTTTTTTTAATACTGGATTCCCCTTGGGTGCAGACTTGACAGCCCAAGGAGACGCAATTTTATACTTCCCAATCCCCCCAAAATATATAACCATGTAGCAGTTTAAAGATAAATGAAAAAAAATAAGACTGTCAAAGAAAGTTCAGATTTACCAATGCTCAGACAGTTGCAGTACAAATGATACCACCCTGGGCCATTAGATCTTTTGCAGCTGAAGAGGATTCAGGGCAAATTATATTGCTGTTATCTCTTCTTCCTTCCACTCAGCCGTACGGGAGCAGTGTTTGAATCCTGAACATCTGTGGGCAGTCTCACTGCCGAGGGGCCTCCTGAATTGATGCTCTCGCCTGCCTGCCTCTCACCTCCTACCTCGCTTTTGGTGGTCTTGAGTGGAAAGAAATGCTGTTCCAAATTTTCCTGAGTGTCTACCCACTGCTGTCAGCATCTTGGAGTTTATTTAAGGAAAAACGATGTTATTCTTTTAAATAAACGTGTTACATTTTCAGCAGTTCTCAATAGCTGTATTTCCTACGCAATTTTAAGCATATTAAAATGATTGATATGCAGTAAAAGACAGTTTTCTCTGCATTCTTCATGGGCAATAATATACAGATTGTGTCTATGGATGCAGATCTTTGTCGAAAAGAATAATGGCATGCAGAGAGGCTGTTCTCAGTGTCTGAAGTTTCCGTTTGTCCAAGCGTGTCTTTAAAATAATGACAGATTAGTCAAATTGGACCGTACCAAATAAACATAGTTACCAAAAAAATCTGTCCACCATCTACCTGAATCCGAGAGAGAAATGACATAGGAACGTATTTATTTTGGGCTGTCTAGCAGATCTGTGAAAAAACCATTATATTGGTAGGAGACTGAAATAAGCCTGCAACTTCTGGACATAAATATCTCAGGGGAAATTACCTACATCAGCTCTCCTTTGTGAATGAAGAAATGAATAAGGTTTGTGTTTGTTTGGGTTTTTTTAAGTTTACTATTCCTAAGTGGAGGGAGGAAGATTCTGGAAATGTACTTCGATCGTCTTATTTTTGTTGAGATCATTGATGTAATGAGAAAATGTATTAAATTTGCACTTCACACATTTTCAATTTTTCATTATGAATGGTGTGGGTTTTGCTTGATCCCACATTAAAAGGGCGATCTGCCTGCAAGAAAAATTGGGAAGAAAAAAGATTCCCTTCTTCCATGTCAGCATTTTCAAGTAGCAAATATTTGTTATTGTCCTTTATTCTAATCACCTGCTGTGTGTCTTTTATAGTAAATAAAAATAGTTTGATCTCCATAGAAGGTGCAGGATTAAATTCCTCTTTACCACAGATTATTTCCAGTAATTCTGGTATTTTTATTTGATGCAAAATTGTTCTTATTTCATTTGCATCCCCTGTAGGTTATTAAGAAAATTGTACACAGCAGTCTAAGTGAGCAAGGCTTAGTGGGAGTAATGAGGTTTAGCCTCTAATCAGTCAATAACTATGTTTGTCCAGCAGGTCCATACTGAAGAAGAATTGTGAGCAAGATCTGGAAGGAAAAAGTGTTTAGATCCTCTGAGATGAGAAGAAAGTTGAAGATAAAGTCCTGTACTGAGGTATGCCAAACATAATTTGGATGCTGAACATTGTCAAGATGATTTCTATCACCTTCTGCCCCCTTCCCAACTCCTGTCTTGAACGTTCGTTATGCATACTTGACGTTTATGGAGTTGTTGGTGCTGGGAGAAGGGCTTGGCAGGACTGGGTTGTAAACTAGATGTGGTCTGTTACAAATTAGCCAGTGTCCTCCTTGTTAGGAACCTGCAAGTTCATACAACACAGATGTTTAAAGCTGTCTAAACCCAGTCTGTGATGCTCAAGTGTGTGATTAATGAAGGTAAGATTTCACTTGGAGTTATTACCAATCTTAGCAATGCCAGGTGTGGTATCTTGCAAGTGAGTTTGAATCATGCCATGGATTCCCTTGCTGCATACAGTGAGGCTGGATGTTCCAGCAGTGACCCCTGTGATGTCAGTGCCCTCCTGCAGGGTTTGTTTGCAGTGAGTGTCGGTGCTTTCCAAAGCTGAGTCCTACCAAAGAGGTGCTGGATCAGCACTCTGCCCTCAGAACCTGCTGTTGCTGATTTTACAGCTTAAACTTTCAGCAAAAATAGGAGCTGTTCCACTGAGTTTGCTCCTGCAAAGTAAAGGTTGTATAAGGCCAGTCTGTAGGGTTATAAGTGTAACTGTTTACTACAGCACTCCTGATTCGAGTTGTGTAAACTCTCTGTTTCCTTATTTTGCTTTTACTTGAATAGCATCCTGTGATAAATTATTCATTTTCCTGTCAAAGCTAGACGGATATTTGAGCATCAGAAGTATGGAAGGGGGCAGCAACATTACAGACAAACTCGATTCTATAGCCAGTGTTGCAGGACTAAACATAATTTTGGAAAACCTACTGCTTAAAATTACTTTGGCTTTGGACGTATTTTCAAAGGGTTGTGTCCAAATACATGTGCACTCCATAAGCTCCACATGTGGGGCATTTTTGCTTGAGGAAAACATAAATGTATTACCTAATGGGATAACCAGATACAGTTTTTATTAAGTGTGTCATAATACAGACATGAAACTCATCTTAATGTGCACAGATTAATCACCATGGTCCTGGAAAAATGCAGTGCTGTCTTTCAACCCACGTGTTTCTTGAGCCAGAGAAAAAAAAATCATACCTTCCTGCAATAATCCTGCTTTCTTAGCATCTTTGCTTCTGAGGTTTTCCAGTGTAAACCATTGCAATTTATGACTCTTACCTATTAAGACTGTATTTCTTCTTGCTGTATTTTCCACTTTATTCCATCCTCCTGGTGAACGTGAATGGATTCCTGATTAGAAAGGGAAAGAAGCGGTTGTTTGTTCACCACCCAACTCAATGTTGGGTGCATTGTGTCCTTAGAGACATCTGTGTAAGGTTTTGTTGTTCAGGACCTGTGGCAGCGTGTCTCAGGGACAGTTGGTTGCAACACAAAGTACCAAACTACCTTAAATCTGACTTAGACAAATCATGTGTAGGAGTGAAAAGATAATGCTGTAACTTGATCTATTCTGACTTCTGGTAGTCAGCAAAGACCTCTACCCCTAGAAATTACATTAGCAAACTCATTTCACTTAGCCTGCCGAACAGCCACCATCAATTAAAATCAAGCCAGGCTGATTTTGATTTGATAACTTTCAGGTAAAATGTTCACTAGCCCTTGAGTCATCCGGCATGTCCACAACTATTTATTTTTTTTTAAATTATAATAATTGCTTGAAAATCAGCTGCGTTTACTTTTAAATTGTGGCTACAATACTTTAGACAGATTTCTGTAGCTCTGACAACACGGCTGGCCAGGAGATCAAATTTTGCTACTTCTGCTTAAACCTCTCAGATATGAACAGGACTGAGTGGTCCTGAAGGCCATTTTTGCATCAGTAACCCAAAACCAACCTTCCCGATGATCACAGTTTTCCATTTGTCATGTTACCAGAAGGAAGTTATTTTTAGCAGAGATCCTTGAACTCTAGAAACCTGTTTTAGAAGAGATCAGCTCGAACCCATGACTTAATCTGCCTATGCCACAAGGCTGCAGTGACTTCAAATTGTAGCAGTAATAATAAGCGATGCTATAAGTAACAGTGCTCCAGAATTTAAGCTATTCACCATTTGACATGATTTGCTTTTTCTGTACCTGATTGTTCCCTGCCCTTTGTCTTACTCCTTTGCTGAGACCTAGGGGAAAAAAATAGAGGTGGCTGGGCCAGATTGTATGACACCAGGGAGCAAGACTTAGGCTCTGAGTCACTCTGGAATTGCCGCTCCAGGACAAGATGTCCCGTGATACTTCACTCCTTCTGATGGAAACAGGAGTTGAAGCTCAGCCCAGAAAGGGGCAGAAGGAGTTCAGCTCCCCACAGTAGCACAGAGCTGCATTTCACTGCTAGCTGGGCTCCCTCCCAGCATGGTGCGTGCACTTTGCAAGCTGAAAATTATTTTTCTAGTGTGATTTAAACCCAGGTAAAAATGAAAATCACAACTTGGCTATTGGTTTTGCTTCTTTAGAAAGGCAGTATGGATGAGGACTGCATGGCAGAGTCTCGCATTGTGACGTGAGGAGCTTCTCAGCCCTTGGGCACGTTTTGGGGTGCAGTATTCTGAAAACGCTGCAGCTTGAAGGTGCTTTCTCGTGGTTTTGAGCTGCTGCTGTGAGAGCCTCGTTCCCACTAGATGTCTCTGCAGCCCCGAGCAGCTGCCATACGACCCACGGTGGCCATATAAATAAGATGCATGGGCCATATAAACAAGAGTACGCAAACTATCTTTGCCTTTTTGTTTCCTACCTGCAGCTGCAGTTAGGGTAACCAGACAGAGCAGTTTGCCCCATCGCTTGCTGGTGCCTTAGAATCTAAATCTTGTCACACAAAAAATACCCATCAAACAGGTAAAATCCTCCGTATTTTATGTATTCCCTGGATCACCATGCAGGAAGAAGCAGCGTGTTCACCCCATCCCTTGCCAGCACAAAGCACTGACCTGGGCCGGGCAGCCAGCGCTGCTGGAGGCACAGCATGAGGTGCTGTCATGATGGCTGTCCCCATCCTCTGGGCTGCCACTGCTCACATCTGCTGCCTGCAGCGCTGCGTCCCCCCATCGCAGAGCTGAAGGGAAGACATAAACAAATGTCATAGTTGTTATTAGTGGAAACTGAACGCAGCCAACATTTGTAAAAATGTCAGATGTGGTTTTGGATACCTTCTTGGTGAATTTCAGAGTGTTTTTCTGTAGGCTATGGGCGTGTTATTTCAGTATTCATACCAGTTACAGAGCTGGGTGACTATGTGAATTGATGACACATTTAAATAAAATATTAATGTAAATGTTATTACATGTCTACCGCTAGTTGCTTGTAGTAGAATGATGCTTTTATCTGACACTTACCAACAATTTATAACAAACTGCCTTTGCAAAATGCTCTGCATCAGGCTGACGTTAGGGATGGAATGCAATCAGTTTTTAACAACGCTATCAAAAGGCTTCCACTAAAAATACACTCCAGCCTCTGGAAATGGCAGTGCATCTTTAAGGCCACCCGTAAAAGGGCTTAACAGTAAAAATGTAAGAAGTCAGGATTCCTCATTTATGCCAATACATTTTAAATTTAAATAGTAACTGCTGATCCTTACAAAACGGACGGGGGTTGAGCTCTGATTGTCTGAGCCCTCTCAAATTACCTTCAACCTTGCTTCTGACATTGCTGGGCAGTGCAGGGCAGGCTGCAGCACAGAACAGATCCGAGCCCCAAGTGATCTGCTGCCAGGCTTTTTCCAAAATAGTTCAGAAAAAGGACCTATTTTTAATATACTCTGCTGGTTCTCAATAGCTAGAAAAGCAGAACTAACACTTTCTGGAAGTTAGGGGCTGCAGCAAATGTAATTAAGAAGTATTGTGCAATAAAAGCTTTCTTCAGAACTGATTAAAACCCTTCCTCGCTATTAAAATCGACAATTAGTACCCATGTTACTTGTGAAGGCAGTCATACGCTGTGATCATTTCTGAACTGGATTAACTTGATGTTGTGATAACGTGCATTTAATAGCCTTGTTTTCTACAGGACTTATTTAAATATGGCTTTAATATTCCCTGTAAGTATGTGAACAAACATGGTACTGCCTGAGCTGTGGTCACTGATTTTGGATGGTGGAAAAATGGAGCTCCATGTGGTGCAGATGGGCTGAAGCTGGAAGGAAGAAGCTTGGTTTTCAGATTCCTGTGGAGATTGGCTCTAGCAGGCACGAGGTAACTGAAGTCACTCCTACCTGCCTGATTTACAGCCCCTGGGGATGTGATGCTACACATTTGGCACTTCTCTTTGCTCGATCTTACAGCCTGGTGGCTGAATTCTTGGCTCAGTTTTGCCCCAAGAGTATCATGGAACCATAGAATCATAAAGGTTGGAAAAGCCCTTCAGGATCCCATGGAGACCAGGCAGGTATTTTGGGGGGTGTTTGTTCATTAAGAAAAGAAAAAGGGAGGGGGGGGAGACAGTATATTTTATATGCCTCAGTTTTCACTCTGGTAAACAAAAAGAAGAACAGAAGAACAGGACACAAAATTAGGGCTAATGAAGACAAATGCAGTTTCACTGAATGAAAAATTGAACTCAGGAATTCATCGCTACAAGATGTAATTAAAGTCAAAGGCTCAGAAACTCAAATGGGCTCACTGTTTACATAGATGATGGAATAAATAACAACAAAATACTTCTGAAAAGAAACAAAAGCTTATCCTGCAGTCTGGCAATAACTCTGTATGGCAATGATGAACGATTGCAAAAGCAGGCTGTGCCCCACACAGCTGCTGTGCACTTTCTAGTGGTTTCTTATGAAACATCCAGACATGAGAACTTGTAAATAAGACACTGGACACCACAGAGACTTCAGGGTAACCCAGTCTGGCAATTCCTGCAGTTCTTGCCCTGATGTTTTATAAACAGCTATCAAATAAGTCAAGGAAATCAAAGATTGATTTTGAAGAGGAAGCAGATCTCTCACGTTTCTCTGAATCTAACAGAAT